AAAGACACTTTCGTTCACTCTAAACCTGTAAGAGAGCTGGAGTGACAGGGCCATTTATTTACAGAAATGCTGGGGGAGGGGGGAGTGGAGGCAGAGAGAAGAAAGAGGAGGAGAAAGATAGGTAACAGAGGGAGAGGCAGGGGAGAGCAAAAAGGTTCAGAAAGCAGGTAGAGATAGGGAAACCAAAAGGGAAATGGGACAGGCTTTACCCCAGGGCTCAGAAGTTCGTCAGCACTGCATGTTGGTTTCAAGTGGAGACAGCTCCCACATGGCCACACAGACATGCAATACATCTCAGAGACCAGGATATAATAGCAATAATGACGATGCACTTAATTGTGTGTCTAGTCTGGTGTCTACGTCCTTTACAAGAATTCTCCTAACAACTCTCTAAGGTTGCTACTACACTTCATCAATTCTAAGACGTACATTTTCTTTTTCTCACTGTAACATCTTTGAAATTGAGATGCTTTATTACGATCGCTGTCGACCTGGCAACACTCTTGACGTCATTGTCACATCAGGGAACACACATCAGAACTTGAAGAATGGATATTTACAGCTTAAAATTCTGAGGATGATACAAGAATGGTCTTGAAAGAAATGCTACCACTAATGCTTGCAATGTGACATTGTAAAACATGGGTGACAACAATGCTGAGTCAGTCTCTGAATATGAAGAAGATTTAAGATTACCTTAATCAAATTATCTCATTTATACCTTCCTCTTTATGTATATGTAAAGAACTGAGGATAAAAAAATCTATGTCTATGGACAACAGGTAGCATGGAGGTTAAGGTGTTGGATCCCACATGGCTGACTGTGTGGTTCAAATCCCAGACCCGGGAGCTTGAAAATCACACTGGGTGAGTGTGCATGCATAACCAAAATTCCAAGAAGAGAATAAAGGGGAAAGGGTTGTGGCATGGCCATTCCCATTTGGGGCATGATTTCACACTTTTCCTCTCTCTCTCTCTCTCTCTGATAAGTGCACATGCTCTAAAGCAAAGCTAAAAACACACAACAAAAAATTCTACAGTTCTTTCTAAATAAACCTGAAGTTTCCTTCCATAAGAATAAAATTAAAATTCTAAATGATAAATGAAAGAATTAAATGAAAAGTTCTTCCTTCTAAATGAAAGTATTATATCATTGTTATCATTGGCAATGATTCCATTTTTCTCAATGTTTTGTAAAATAATGGTTCGCTATACAAGTGCCCTAAGTCCCACTTCATAGATGAGCAAACGAAGGCACCTTTTTTATTTGCTTGAAGAGCTACACAGAAAGTCAATCCCCCAGGTCCTTTTGATTCCAGAACCTGTGTTCTCTACAATAACTGTCATTCTTCTCAGACATCTCTGGAGCCAGACCAATGTAGGTTCCAACTCCAGCTTTGCCACTCCCTGGCTTTGTGACCTAGGACAGTGACTTCTAGTCTCTGAGCAATAAAGCAGAGATGCTTCTCAAAGTTATGGGTGGAAAAGCCATGCATGAGAAGTTCGGCAGTGTTTAGCAATTGAGCAAGGGTCTACACGCACGTCCATGAGCACCCGAAGAGCACCCCCTTTGCCTGTGCAGCAGCTGATAGAAGACTTGGATAGCACCAGGAGCCCAGATCTAGGACTGAACTATGTTTTTACCCCCTCTCAGAACAAGTCGATCTGTTTACACTTTTCAGTGCCTATGGGATGATGCTCTGCCCTTCCTACAAGCAAAACAACAACCATAATGACCGTAATTAATATATTACTGGTATTATTACTATTTACATCTGCTGAATGGCCACACCATTCTAAAGCCTCTGTACTTATCCTGACAATAATCCCATGAGTGAGCACATGACAGATGAGGGGTAAGCTCAGGGTGTTGAAGAACACACGGGATTATCTCTAGGCAGCCTGGGTCCACACAGAGAACAAAAAGGATACCCAGGATCTTAAGTTAATTTGGTTCTCTGAGGTCCATTGATTCATTCCTAATGGATTTGACATTGAAGTTAAGAAACTGATTGTTAAGAGTCATAAAGAGGGCTGCATGGTGACCCGGTGGTGGAATACAATGCGCTGCCAGGCTGACTCACATGGGAAGGTTCCAGGTTCACTCCCTGAAGACCTCCCTGAGCACATCTGCTCATGCTCATGAGCCAGGGCTGGCTGAAACCGGGCATAGATCTGGTGGTGGATCACGCCATCAGGATCCAGTGGGGGGTGCTATCTCGCTGTCTCTTTCACTCATAAGGGAAAGAAATTATTATTTGTAAAAGTCCTCTTCCCTTCACCCCAATTATTAAAAAATAAAAAAGTTTACTCTGGAAAATATTTGTAACAAAAAGACATGGCTACACCTAATCCTCTTGTCAGAGAACTCCTCATTCACACTTTTTTGTTTTTCTTCTGTTCTTAATATTTTGCGCAATTGACAGCATGTGAAATTTTATATCCTGATATTTTTCTCTTAGTATAAGCATTTTCCTGTGTTATTGAAACTTTTTGACGACATCATTTTTATTGTTACCAGTATTGTCCAATGGGTGGGCTCTACTGTACTCAAACATCCTCCTACCATAAGGCATCTAATGTACTATAGTGCAGACTTGTGTGCCTGGATCTTTGCTTCACATTTTTATTTTCTTGGAATAAATGATTAACAAGAGCATTACTAAGTCAAAGGATTTGTACTTTTAAAGGCTCTTGATAGAGACTGTCAAATTGCACTTTACATTTCAGAATGTCTGTTTCAACCCATCTTTGCCAACATTGCATATTAACATTTCTAAATTCTCCGTTAACATGATAAATGAAAGTTTTCTGATTGTTTCAAATCAACAGATCTTGGTTTACTAGTAAACAGTAAATTTATCCAGGCTTATTATTACATGATTATATCTGTAAATTGGCATGGTTATGGCAAAGAAGAGCCCCTGCTAGAATAAACTACCTGGTTTTGAATATCAGCTCCCTGCTTTATTATGTGTGATTTGGAGATGATTATTTCCTAATTGTTTAAATAGGAATGAGAATAATACCTACCTCATCGGGTCTTTATAAAGAATGAATGAGGGACCAGCAGTTAGCGTAATGGCTCTGTCGCTGGACTCCCACGTAGTCGACCGCGGTTCGCGTCCCGGACCCGGTGGCTTAAAACTCACACCAGGCGCATGTGCGTACGTGCCCAAGATCCCGAGAAGAGAACAGAGGAGAAGGGATTGCGGCATGGCCATCCCCCCTGGGGGGGTGATTTCTCGCTTTCTGTCTCTCTATCTCTCTCTCTGTCTGGCAAGCACACGCGCCCTATAGCAAAAACCTCTCCAAAAAAAAAAAAAAAAGAATGAATGAGAGTCCCATGTACGTGACTCCTGGCATATAGTAAGAGTTAAGTAAATACCTGCTACTTGAATTTCTTCTTTTGTAAATTATTTTTTATATACTTTCTTTATTTTATGTTGGGAATCCTAGTATCTTTCTTATCAATTTGAAGCGCTTTTTTTAATGGAAGTCATTAGCCTTTTGTCTCATTTTTTTGTACTTATTTTTAAATCGACTTTTAAAGCTACATTCTTTCTACTTGATGGTCTCCATGAAATTCTCTTAGGGCCATCCACATTTAGTAAAGCTGCAAGGAGTTAAAAAAGGAGTTTCTAAAGTAGAGACTTAGAAAAAGGGAGGGAGTCTTCATTTCCAATGATGTTTCCATGCCCAGTGCTGCATTTCTAGCAGATAAGGTAGCACAGAGAATGCTGGAACGGTTCCGACAGACTGATGCCGGAACATGGGATGTGGCACTTCGGGAAGGAAGTGATGGAGCCTTCCGGAACCCATTCTTTCTCAGTTCAGAAGTTGTCCTCATGTTCATGAAGCTATCTGGGTTTTAAAAAAAAAAAATGACCTTTTCCAGAATCCCCACAATCTTGCTACGCCTGTGCACTCAGTACATTTCTGCCAACGAGGGTTCCAAAGCAGGAGAAAGCCTCTGTTTTTGTTTTCATTTTTTATGTCTATTAAAAATAAACATGCTGAGAAGCTGACTTTTAGTCTCTTTATCAAGTCCCAAATGACGTGGAGTCCTTGTCAACTCGGCATTGACGAACACCACCGGCATGTACACAACCAGATTTGTAAGATATGAGGCACAAATTTAGCTAAGGACAGGTTTCCCTTCCGTTGATCAAAACTGGGTTTTAGCCAAGGGATGTGTAGTTGGCCCTCAACCCAGCTAAGGTATAGACAGGCAGGACGCAGCCCCCAGCCCACCCGCCTGGACACAGCCCATAGGACACTCAGCTTGGAACACCAAGAAGCCCACCCCTTTATGAGTAGTCACAAAGGGGGTGCTTTTCATGCTGAGTCAATTTAATCAATACTTTTGCTGCTTTGGAAACTCAGGGCATTTAGATAGAGCAAAGTGAGCTACACAGTAAAAGCAGCTTTAAATTCTAATGAGCTTCTCTGTGCTAATTAGTGAAGCTTTCTTTGTTAGAAAACACACCCTTGCCTTAAAGTAACACAAAATGCCAGCGTTTTCTTTCCTGAAGTTACCTCCTTTTGTGTTTTCTTAACCAACCAGGAAGGAAAATACTTTGTTCCTCTCACTCTGTTAAAACTAGATTTTGTTTATTTTTTAAAATTATTTTCAATCGGTGACTAGCATTGCATGTTGCCCTGTAAAAACTAGAAAGTGCAAGAGATCCATTTCTCCTAAATCCTACCTGTCACCCGCTTGGCAGGAAATGGAGGGGAAACACAGCCTCTTCTGGAAGAGACACAACAGTGTGCCCCCTCGCAGCCCCTCCCATTTCACTGTGAGATTTGGTAATTTGCAAATTGAGCAGCCATCATTATTTTCCAAGGAGCAAGTGGGGTCTCCACTCCTCACGAGGAGAATGCAGCCCAATCATTTGTTTCAGCAATGAACAAATTCTAGAGCACTTGAGAATTCTTAGCCATAAAGCTGATTACTAACACAAGAATGGTTATAAAGAAAAATCTTTTTCATCTAGGGAGGAGGTGGGGAGAAGACGAAGGGCAAGGAGGAAAAGATCCATCCAGCTCACTCTGGTGGTTATCAGCTCACATCGGAGATTTTTGTAAGTCAGAATTAGAACTCAGATGGTTGAGTGAAATTTCTCTCCCTCTCACTTTTCTGCCTCCGTGTTGTCGCCGTCCGTCTGGGTCTCCCTGTCACTATCTCCATCTCTGCTCTTCTGTCCTTTCTGAGTACTTGATGAAGATACCCTGCCTGGAAATAATTGCATTCAGGACCCCTGAGTCCCACTTAAAAGTCTTTGGGACTGATCGAGATAAATCCCATCAGGCTTTTGTTTCCACTCAAAGTGCCCCCATCATTTATTAGACGAATTAAAGTATCAATTTCTGTTTAAACATTAACAGGGTGATGCCAAATATTAGTCAGTTCCTAATAATTTTGAGGGATTAAAAAGATAATAAAAGTAATAGCCCATTACATTACCTACTTCAGCAAGATTGTAATGAACATAATAAATTCTGGATCAGGGTTATAACAACTTCCATCTATTTAAAATGAATTTGTAGGGTTACTTTCATTAACTATGTATATGGGGAAAATGATCTGACATATTACTTTAAAAGAGCTGTAAAACCGATTAGGAGAAAATATGCTTTCCAGACAGGGATGCCGGCCACAGGGGACAACTGCGTCCAGGGAAGAGGGAAACGAGCTGCTGTGACAAACCCGATGTCGCCCTTCATGCACTTGCCACCCTGGGAAAATCATGACAGCATCCGAGCTACTGAACAAGGGTAAAAGAACCTACCTTTTTCTTTTCTCCCTTTTTTTTTCCCCCTCGTCCCCAGGTATATCCCCACTAATGAACTAGGGCTAGCTCTGGGAACTTCTGCAAGGAAATAAACCCTAGGCCTGCAGCCCAGCTTGGCCTTTGGGCCCCCAGGGGAAAGCTGCCATATTAAAGGGGCCCATGCCCTCATTGCTGGAGGAGACAAGGGAGCGAGCACTTGACTGCACCACAGAAATTACTACTGTACCTCGAATGCCCGCTTCATTTATCAATTTCATAGCAGAAAAACCCATATGACTGCCTTGTTCAGTCGCACGCTAAATCTAGTCACAGAAAGCTCCCCACCGCCAGTCAAGGGTGTTCTGCACAGGCCTGGGTAAAGTAACTTGAAATACCACTAATGATTTATACGTAATTGAACCTCTAAGTGATTAAAGTGGCAGTAATGAATGAATAACACCCTCCTCATTCCCTTGCCCACTCGGCACAGCCTCTCCAGGCAGAGCGGCGGGCTGTGCCTCCGGAAGGCAGTGAGGACAGCCGGCTTGAGCCATTCCCTCTCGGCTCCCCCAAGCCGCTCATCTGGGTCCTGGCTAAATTGCTCTCGCTTGCAGCAAATGAGTCCATAAGCACCGAATCAGACCATTGATCCTTTTTATTAGATTACCCAATTGTAAGGTTAATGCATTTGCATTTGGCAAAGGGAGTCGGTCAACCCGAATCCCGTGTGGGGATCAGTGTTTAAATGGACACATGCGGAGGGCGATTCTGTCAACATATTGATTTGTCTGTAGCAGGAATCAAATGTGATCCCTCCCACCCCCAGCACTTCCAGGACTGCCACTTCCTGGCAGGACTGCCACAGCCAGGCTTCCAAATTTGCTGCCCACCCCCCAGTACTTCCCCACCCCCAATCCTTCTGTTTCTGAAAGGCTCCTGCAAAGGTTTTCCGTCACCTCAGACAGGGACAAAGGTGAACTGCTCACCTTGGGACCAGGGACCTCGCTGCTTTCTTTAAATGAAGGAGAGCCAGGACTTTAAATCAGTGGCAAGGACACAGGATTCAGACACACACACGCACACACACATACCCACACACACCCACACACACACACACAAAATTCTTTTCTGATGGTCACAGAGTCAGACTGGGCCAGCCATTTATATCTAGGCTTCTACACCCGATGTGAAGTTATTCTTGGATTAACCAAATGCTATTTAAGTGGTCTGTCTTTGTTAGGATTTTCTAGTAAGGGAATTCACCAGTTGGGAACAAAAAAAATACTTTGTTGATTTGTCATGAGTTTTGTATTGAAAAACACAGCCAGAGTTTGGGGAGAATAAGAAGTTATCCAGAGAAATCATCCCCAGAAAACTATGTCCTTTCATGGATGGGGAAACTGAGTCTCAGAAAGAGAATGAAGCTTACCGGAGGCCCCTGAGTGAGTTCACCCACTCCCCCGTTTTCTGCCTCCAGATTGGCCTGATGTTTTGTCATCAAGTAAGAAGGCAGTACTCCCAGAAGTGGTTTTGAGGCTATGACAGTAAAGAAATAGTCTTTTTATACAAATGTCCTAAGACACAAGCCATATTTCATATTCAGCTGCATAAACTAGGTCTTTGTCTAAATTGTTCTGTGGAATACGATCGCTGTGGGGACGGCTTACAGGATGGATTTGCTCAGCCTCTTGCCTGCAAGGACATGAAAGCTGGTTTTATCATTTCAATTCAGCTTGCTGTTTCTGCTCTTCACATTCCAGAGGTGACCAGGAGGACAGGGAGCAACCCATCAAGTGAAGTCAAAAATCAAGAGTTCAAGTCTCAACTCAGGTACATAGGGGCCATGTTATCTTTCTGAGCTTCAGCTTCCCTACTTGCTGGAGTGTTTTGAAATTAAATGGGATAATATGTGTGAAAACAGCCTGCATCACTGTGGCTCTTATGCACATAGAGTTCCTTGTCCACGAGTTCCCCCTCCCAGTTTCATAGGAAAAGGTAATGTCCTGGGCCTTACAGGCAATAAACAACGAGCGATGGGCAGTCTGAAGACAGCCCACACTACCAAAGAAAATCTTTATCTAGCTCTCTCCTACTTAGCAAGAGAGACTGCGGTCCCCTCCCCAGCTTTTCATCTCCCTCCCAAGCTGCACATGGAGGCTGAGCCCTCTGCAAATCACCTCTCAGACCCTGTCTGAGTCTCACAGAGGCCTAGAAGACCATGAGGATAGGGGCAGGGTAATGGGGACAGAGTCATTGCTGTAACAACAACTTCCTTACAATTCGTTTGCTATGATAACTCTTCTTCACTAACATTTTTAGAGTACTCTGGCTTAGATGCTTTATATGAACATTTAACCACATCTAATTTTTCCAGCAATCCTGTAAGGTTCAAATAGTTACATCCATTTTACAGAAGCAGAAACTGAGGCTGGCAGAGGCCAAAGTGACACCGTTGGGAAGAGGCAGAGTTGGATTTTAAGCCCATACCCATCAGACTCCAGGATCCGTGCACTGTCACTGTGCCCCCCACCCCCAGGACTTTTGTTTCTCTGTGGCCAGAGACAAAGCAGA